AGTGGGCCGATTACGACGTAGGACTAAGAGAAGTGTTGTTTTCTTAATTGATTAATTGATCATTTCTAGGATGATGAATTGGTTTGTCATTATGAAGAAAAGAAACTAGAAGATCTGGGATTCTATGTATACTCCATTTTCTTCTTTAATGGAAGAATTATGGACAATTCTTCCAAGGCTTGGCATGGATAATTTATCACTTTGTTACATTATCTTTTTTAGCTCAATGAACTTTAATCTTTTCCTTTGATTGATTTGGTATAGTTGAACATTGATGTCCATGTTTTCTCTGCTACGCTTAGATTGGTTGTTGAAGAGTCAATGTGCTGGTCATTTCAGGAGACATGAGTTGGTTTTGCTCATTTTGTAATGGTGACAAGAGGGATAAACCAGTGAACTCAAACACGACACCAGATTTGTCCACCAACTCGACAAATACCGATGTTGAAGTTGGGAGATTTGGGTCGGAATTTACTTCGCAAAACGTCTCGAACAGTAGCTCGGAATCTTCAAGAAGAAATTACGTACTCAGCATGTCAGAAAGAGCTAGCAACCTCAGAGTTTTTACCGTGCCTGATCTCAAATCAGCTACTAAGAATTTCAGTCGAACTTGTATGGTTGGAGAAGGTGGTTTCGGATGCGTTTATAGAGGGTCAATCAAGAGTGCTGACAATCCATCGCAAAAAGTTGAAGTGGCTGTCAAACAGCTTGGTAAAAGGGGTTTGCAGGCAAGCTTTCTGTCTCTTGATATTAACTAGCAAGCTCTTTTTTAGTTTTTTATGAGAGTTTTAGGCCAACTTAATTTTACTTTTTCATTGATTTCATTTGAAAATGTCTTGCTGAGCAAAGTGCATTAGCAGTTCCATGGAAGATAAAGGTGAGGGTGAGCTGTTTTCAAGAGGTTTTTTTTTTTTTTTTTTTTTTTTTTTTTTCATGGGAGATGATAATATATTTTTGTACCCATTTGCAATTCTTACAAGTATTTAACTTATACGAGACAATTCTCGTTACCGAATGCATCATATATGGCTTTCATGCATCATATCTGCAAAAGTATATTCTAAACTCAAATGTTATTTGGCAAACAACTACAAGCTATTTCTGAACTTATTACAGAAAATATGCTAATGAATTTTCATACTATAATCTTCATCATCGTGATTTCCAGTTTTTCGTGATCACCAGAAATCATCCAAGGATTAGTAGTTTGCATATTAAGGCTCTTCCCTCTTGTTGGCAGGGTCATAAGGAGTGGGTGACAGAAGTGAATTTTCTTGGATTTGTTGAACATCAAAACCTTGTTAAATTGGTAGGCTACTGTGCCGATGATGATGAACGAGGAATACAGCGTCTACTCGTTTACGAGTTTTTGGCCAATGGAAGTGTGTCGGACCATTTATCAAGTCGAGCAGAGAAAACTCTTTCCTGGGCCATGAGATTAAGAATTGCCCGAGATGCTGCTTGCGGACTAACATATCTACATGAAGAATTAGATGTTCAGGTACTTTTCTTCCTTTGTGTAAGTAACTTTTCCCAGATTTTTGGGTACATGTATCTTTATTCCTTGAAGATTTAGCAGATAATCTTCCGGGATTTCAAATCTTCAAACATTCTTCTGGACGAGCAATGGAATGCAAAGCTGTCGGACTTCGGGCTCGCCAGGTTAGGACCTCCAGAAGGGTTTACTCATGTCTCCACGGCGGTAAGCTCGATCAGTACCACCCACTTTACTTAATATCAATCGAACATTGCTCAATTCAGGCCTGAACACCAAACAAACTCACGTGCACACACATACATAACGATCTGACAGTTTTCTCCAAATGAACTTTGTCGTTCCCGGCATCCATCAATCTTTTTATGCTATACTCATCTAATGTCTCGAACACACATCACAGGTGGTCTTAATAGGATTGTCATTGTAGAGTCCAGCTTTGGTTTTTGAGTTGCTATATTGAACAGGGTTATCTCAAGGTCTTGACACATTTTAAGATATACTAATTCCAAACGACAAGAAACATGCATGATGCTGTAGTTCTGTTTAGAACTTTTTATGTTTTCTTGGAACTCAGTAAATATGACAACAATGCATGTCAGATTGTCGGAACAATGGGATATGCAGCTCCTGAGTATATCCAGACTGGACATCTCACATCCAAGACCGACGTATGGAGTTACGGGGTCTTCCTTTATGAACTCCTAACGGGTAGGGCCCCAATAGACCAAAACCGTCCCAAGAGTGAGCAGAAGCTTTTAGGATGGGTGAAGCCATATCTGACAGACATAAAGAAGTTCCAGTTAATACTGGATCCAAGGCTGAAGGGGAAATCACACATCAAATCTGCGTATAAGCTGTCAAGCGTAGCAAACCGTTGCCTCGTTCGAAATCCAAAGAATCGTCCAAAGATGAGCGATATTTTGGAAATGGTCGGCGGGATTGCAGACGCTTGGACAGAAACAGGGAACTCTCAATCACCCTTGGAAAGTTGTACACCCTCAACAAAAACTCCCAAGGTCGCCCAATCAAGGAATGATAGTAAAACCATAGATTCTCAACATAGCGAAAATGGATGGTTTCGGTGTCTACGAGTGACTTGAAGAAGCTTTCGAGGACATGCTGATTGAAGTAACAGCTGATGAGCATGGCCAATCGATTTCGGGTGTGAGGTAACTCGATGATATCCTGTAACATATGCTTCCGTGTTGTGCAAATAGAATTAGCTAACACGGCTGATTTTCCATACACTATATCCAGAAAACTGTCTTCTTCTTAACAAGTTGATGAGTATATCATAATTGTTACTGTACTTGGTAGCAGTGAAGGGATTTTATTGTTTTAGCCAAAGATAGTTTGCTTGCTCTCTCTTGGCTTTTGCAGAACTCCATGTAAGGCATGTGATACTCAAAGGCTGACTCGTTATGAACATTCATATTTATTTAACATTACAATATACGTCATTTTTGCAGTATTTGGGACTTGGTTGACATGGATTAAGTTTTCTTTTCAAGTCCCTTTTCTTGTTGCTGCTTTAGCTTTGTTAGATTTTTCATAGCTCTAGTCTCGAGTTTTCCACCTAAAGTAAGCAATCCATCAAATTTGTCAAACGTTAGACTTTGCATAGCTCAAGTCTCTAGATAGATTTCTACATAAAGCAAGCGAACCATCAAATTTGTCAAACGTTAGACTTTTCGTAGCTCTAGCCTCTAGATTTCTAAATAGTGCAAACAACTCATCAAATTTGTCAAACGTTAGATTTCTATAGTTCTAGTCTTTAGATTTCCACATATCAATGGAATCGAGTGAAGCAAGCTAACTCTATATCATTGCTAAAAGATGTACATATAAAATTATAATTAGATATGTTATTAAAATCTTCGATTAAGAATATCACATCCCCACGAAGTCTAAACGAAAACCAACGTTCTAGTGAACCAAACAACACTATTTTCTTATCATCCATCAATATGAAGAAAAAAACAACTTTGCTTGTTCAAGTTGGAGGGCGGTGTTAGAGTTGGCTTCCACATTTGTTTTATGAGCAAAAGGGGAAGCTAATGGTATAAGCCCACACGTTAAGATTGTCTTCTTCTAAGGTTCCAATTTGGACTAGTAGCCATTTTGACTATACATATGAATATTTTTGGTCTATATATTTTTAAAAGTGTCTAATAAAATTTTAAAATTTTAATTTTGTGTCTTAAAAAATTTATTTATTTATTAGATTTTATATATATATATATATTTTGTATAATTTTGTATTTAGTAAATTGATGGATTTTAAAATTATCTAAACATTTATTGAATAAATAACACAAATTTAACAACTGTTTTTAGCACAATAACAAATAGTTTATGAAAATTTAAAAATACATTTTTAATAATGGCAAAATGTTGACGAATCAAATGCTTCGGAATTGCCACGTCATAGTAACGAAAACAAAGGATTGAAAGTGATGTTTAATGCTTCAATGGACCGTGGTGCATACCACACGTGCCAAAACAATACTCGTTTTCAGGGGTTCACACTCCCCGCAGTTTCAGGCGCCGCCATCTCCACCGCCTGCTTCCGTCAAGTGAAGCTCTATGAGAGGGCGGTGCAGAGTGGTTGAATTGCAGGCGGAAGCACGGCGAAGTTGCACTCAAAATTCCGACCATGAAACTTACCAATTCGAGGTCGGTGGGTGCGTCGGAGAATTCCTAATTTGTAGAATTCAACCCGAGGGCGGCGGCGGCGGCTTCGTTTTTGTTTCGCTGGAAATGGAAGCCTGAGGTCATGGAGAAAATGGAAGCCAATTATCACGAGACAGAGGAGAGAGCGATTGAAAACAAGATGAAAAAAAGAATTAAAGGAAGTTTGAAAACTTTTAGTAAACTTAATTGAACCATAATGAGTGGGTCCCACACTTAATAGATTTCTATACATTAATTACGATTATACCCTAAGAACACGTCTTTTAGTTGTTTCTTCATCGTAGTGAATCAGAAACTATTAAAAAAAAAAAAAAAAAAAATCAATTTTCATAGGCTTATTTTACTCAACAATTATAGGATGACAATTAAATAATTCTTTTAATGGCTTATTTATTAAAAAGATATATAAAAATTAGACTAAATTAATAAATATATCTTTTTAATTTCAAAGAACTTTGAAAAAAATCTAAAAAATACCTTTAAATTTTTTTAAAAAAAGTTGTATAAAAAATATTCTTCAACTTTTAAAATGGTTTTAAAAATACCCTTTATAAATACCATTAAGTTTTCAATAGTTTCATATCAATATCTTATTAAATACTATTATAATAGAAAAGTATTTCACACGCATAATAATATATCAACAATAAATGTATATTATAGAGAAAAAGTAAAATTGTAATTTAAGTAAGTAAAAAGAAATACGCATAATTTAGGGGGAGAGAATGGTATTTTCACAACACATCAACCGCGCGGTAACTGTATATAAAGGGCATGAAATGCGCTTTTTTACAACATTTGTCGTCGTCGTCGTCTATTTCCTCCGTATGCTTCTTTTAATGTGCAGTCCTCTGGGACTTTCTTTTCTTTCTCATACATTTCTTCGATAGGAAGGTTCAGCCTTAAACCGCGTTCATCGCTTTCGCCTTTGATTGAACTGCAGGTGAGTGTTTGTGTTGATGATTAATGTCATATTTTCATCATTGATCCAGTTTGCCATTGTTTTGATCGTTCTTCTGTACGTTTTTTTAGTTGTTTTCGTCTTCTTCTTGTTGTTTGTACGAGTTTGTTGTTATTTGATTGATTCAAATTTATCCACGCTTGAAAGCTTTGGATTGGTTAGAAATTGCATGGTTTTTTGATCGGCATCCGAAGATATGAATGCATAGAGGCGTTCGTAGTTAGATCAGTATCAAAATATGTCCCTTATTTGTTTGTTTTTTAATTATTAAACTTCGATGTTAGAAGTAAATTTTCAGACATCAAGTATTGATTATTGATCTCATGCTTGTAATCAACTGCAGTTCAATCTTTCTCTGGTAGGTAAGAAATTTTTGGGGTTGGTATTTCTGCAAACTTGCTAAAGAAGCAGTCTCTGGTGGAGAAGCTACCCCTTCTTGAATAGGTGTTATGAGAAGATGGTCATGAACGATTATGATTCCGATGCGATTAGTTGGGGTCTTCGTCTTTTCAATGGGGATTCATCGTATAGTTCCGAGTACTTTCCTGACATGGCACAACACGATGTTAATTTCTATGAGCATTATTATGGAAATCATTGCAATAATGAGGTTAATCATGTGGAGAACGATGAGATTATTGCGCACACTCTTCAGGAGGAGTTTTCCCAATTAGAAATCGCAGAGGCCTCGGGCTATTCAAATATAGAAGATCCCTCCCAAGCATCTAAGTATGAGCTTGGTTGGGACAATCCATCCTCAAGGAACTACGGTTCAGGTTCTTACTAATACTAGCTATCTACTCCTTCTACGTATGTGGGATAGTGATCCTTATACGGTGCGTAAAATTTTTATAATCTGCAGAAAATGATTCTATTGAAGATGTAGTTGAAACTGTGGAGGCTTCTAGTTCATGTTCTAGTCCAGGTCAAGAGGATAGCTACTATCCACATGGGCATGATAGTCAAGTAGATTGGAAAATGGATCAAGTGATTCCAGCACCCGTGAGATTTTCTAATTACATCTTTTTATTTTGGCATAGCAGTTGAAGTAAACCATAGATTCATTGCGATAAAAATATTACCTCCTAGACTGATCAATTTATGCAAGAAATTTTATGGAGCATGCTTTTTTGCTGGGGCTTGTGACTGCCAACATCTAGGAATACTCTATATTTGCTTAGAATTTGGAATTGATTTCTTCATAATTGGGAAATATTTATAATGATTTGCGTAGGTTCTTTTCTTTTTTCTTCTCGAAATTCTGGAAGATTTTGAACTATTCTTACAACATTTCTGCATTTTTTTCAGTCTCGAATGGTTACTGGAATCTTAGGGGTCTTGTACATTTGGTAGATGCTTTCTCTGTGAACCATTGACTTGCTCATGCTCTCTTTAACTGATTCCCAATATGCTGATTTTTTTATTTTTTATTTTCACAATTTATTTAATTTTTTGAACGACAATCTAGGAATCTTTTGAAACTATACAGTTGCAAAAGCCGACCTCTGCTTCTTTTCCAATTTCTGTGTTAACACAAGTATGCGGGACCCAAGATAATATCTGCCCTTGCCTGCCTACTACAAAGTTGCCTTACAATTTCTCATGTGATTTGGGCAGCATGTCCCAAGAATTAATGGTGAGATTCCATCAATTGATGAAGTAACTTCAGATCATCAACGGTTGCTGGATAGGTAATATCTCAGAAGCTCTCTGTTGTTTGATATGGTTGAATCTGTAGTCTATTGTTTATAGCTTGTGTGTGTTTGAATTTCTTTTACCTTTTTTAGTCTGCTACTTGCATGCCTTTTCTCTTAGTGTATGATTGCTGTTTGATATTGAATTTTGGGTATTAATTGTTATCTATCCACTGCCTTCTCAATCTTAGGTTGAAGGTATATGATTTTGTTGAACGTAAGGTTAAAGGGGATGGTAATTGTCAGGTTAGTAGTTTCTCATGCATGTGGTTCTGATCACAATTGAACAATTTGAATTGACCATGACATATATCAGTTTTCAATTTTCAGTTCCGTGCTTTATCAGATCAACTATTTGGAACATCTAATCGCCACAAGTTGGTGAGAGAAAATGTTGTGAATCAGGTATGTCGTTGTTGCTTTTAGCTCTACACTTGTATCTTCTCATATCTACTGGATTATGACCTATTTAACATGGACCTCTGTCTCTGTCTCTGTCTCTCTTTTTCTTCATACCAGCTCAAGTCACATCGGGAGATTTATGAGGGATATGTTCCCATGGCATATGATGATTATTTGGAAAAGATGTCCATGTATCATTTAAACTTCTATTTATTTAATTCTTTTCAACCCAATTTTCTAGTCCTGTTTGGATAATTCTTATTCTACTTCATTTGAAATTTTTCTAGGACTGGTGAGTGGGGTGATCATGTAACACTTCAGGCAGCTGCAGATTGGGTATGGTCATCGCAAGACACTGTCTCCGGCTTTGAAGTGTTTTCTTCAAACAGTGTTGAAACTTGGAAGCTTAAAATATGTTTGTTGTTCATTCATGCAGTGAACCGAAATCTCTGAAAAATAATTTCGACCATGTTAATATTTAGAATGGCTAAAATACTTGAGCAAACTTATGACAGATTTGAACGTTCTAGGTTCAGCTATTTTGTGTTCATTGGCTTATTTATTACTTCAGAGTTAAATGTCCATTTTATTAACGGTATATGTCTTGGGTGACGTAACAATGCCCAACTAATGCTGTCAATTACTAGAATGAACATGCTAGATTGATATGTAAACATTCGTGAAGCTAAATGTGTCTACGACTGTTTTTTGCTGCAGTATGGCGTTAAAATATTCGTTATGACTTCTTTTAAGGAAACCTGTTGTATAGAGATTCTCCCCAGTTTTCAGAAGAAAAGGCAAGGTAAATTCTTCACTCAAATGTTTAATTAACTCAAGTGTAATTTTTCTGGTTATTCTACCTGGTTATGAGCCCATGCATGGCTCATTCTCTTGCTGATTTTTTTGGAAAATGGAATTTTAGTGCAGTACGCCTTTTCATTTGTTCTTACTCTTTCACTAGCATTTTTACTTTCAATTTCTTTTCCTTTGTAATTCAGTCAGATTGAATGAAGGAAGATGGTCTTTGAAAGTGCATCTGTTCTTTCCCTTCCGCACTGTTTTTCAGTTCTTTTTGGTTTCATTTGTTGTATCCTGAGTACTGCGAACCTGTTATCTCTTGCTAATAAACCAAAACCCATCTCTTTTATACCAAAAAGAGACAATTCCAATATTCAAATTCATTGACTTCTCTCCTCCTTTTGTGATCCACCATTCTTTATTTTCTTTATTCATTAATAGAACTCTGCATCAATGTTACATGTATGTAATTTTGTCTGCAAAGAGCTTCATATATTAGTCTGTTGTGCCATATGCAGTCATTTTCCTGAGCTTTTGGGCAGAGGTGCATTACAATTCAATCTATCCCCAAGAAGGTAAATATTTTCCTGTTCTTTCCGTACTGAATCTAAAGCTTCCTGATATTATATCTCGTGGCTGATCATTCCATTCTTTAGTCGGAATAAGAACACATGTAAGTTTCATTTTCTTGAATTGCACCGAGCTCCTTACCAACTTGATTTGATTGGTTGGGCTTGAATATTGATTCTATAGTTGTACCTCTCTAATTTTAATGGTCCAACCCTCACTTTTGATGCCTTAGACGTTTTCTTCTTGGGATCAAGTTGGTCTAAATTAGCTGCTAATCATTAATGCCACAAGTCCATAACTCATAGCTCCATATTTTACTCAGATGGTTCCTCAGTTGCAGATGAGCAATCAAATGACAATAGAAAGAGGAGGAGATGGTGGATTTTTGGACATAAGCACTAAGACTCCGGGCAAAAGGTGCATTAAGACTTGACCCCTACTGCATCGTCTTCTTTAAATTTCAAGAAGACTTCTCGCATCTCGGGCCCCCTTTTTATCAATAACTCCCATCTGCAGTTTATTGCATGAATAAAGATTTGGGGGTAGGACTCCACAACATTCCATATTGACTCCGATGATTGGACTTCAATGTTTTCAATTTGTAACCAGAGAAACTCGGTCTGTCCTGCTCTGGATCTTATTTTACAATTTTATATTAAATAGATTAATAAAAGTTGCAGGATTCTTGCACTTTATTGACCCCCTTGCTTTGTGCTTTGATTGAAGAGAACGCAACGAACTTGGATTTGTTTTATTTTAGTTCAGAATTTTTATAGATCTAACACTGTTGCATCTCATTCATATTGGCCTGCCATTCCAATAACCTTTAGATGCTTAGATCTGTACTTAAAAAGGCATCTTACGGTCTCTGCAGCTTCTTTGATATTATCTCCCTTCCATTTTCTTCTGTTCTTCATTGCAAATCCCATTCTATCCATTCAGACTTGATTAAAAGTAGAAGGGACGTTTTCATTTGAGTATCAGTATTTACTTCAATTGTATATTTCTCTCTTAGTTGATCTAACCCAGCAGCAGAGTAACAGAACAAACGCGGCATAGGGATGGATTCTTTTGACAGAAAATGTTTTGAGGTTAGAAATCTCATCCCTTCCTAATCTGAAAGTTCCTTTCTTTAACAGATTTTTAATGATTTTAGTTGGCAAAAAACAAATAATTATAATATTTAATTTCCAGTACTAGGAATGTTCCATTTCATGCCCCACTGAAAATGTAACGAGTTGGAAGATATAAGCAGGCCATGTTGACAATGGTGGGTCCAATCATTCAGTTGAGCCAGAGAAGGTAGGTATTTGAATTTTAATAGAAACAAAAATAATCGAATTTCCATAGCAGTAGTAGAAGAGCCTACAGATTCTTCTTCCCTTTACAAATTCCATCCAAAACCAGAACGAGGAAGGAGAACGGAGAAGAGATGAAAAAGGGTAAATTTCCGTACTGCAATTTGCTGTCTGTGTCTGTTTGATCCCTTTCAAATTTGTATTATTCTCTGAAGACCTCCTCCTCCTGTCTCTCCTCCGCCTCGTCTGCCGTCGACGGCTGCAACAGTAGCGCCGTAAACGGCATGTGGCGATAATCATTGCCCGCGGCAGAGTAGTCCAACCCCACCGGCTGGCATAAATCCAGACGGCAGCTCGGCGGTGGCATCGCGAACATCCCCTGCTCATCGGCGGCAACCCCCACCGACTGAACCCGACACGAAACGGACAGAGCGGACGAGGCCATAGCCGGTGAAATGGTTGAGATCGGAGCTGCCGGAACAGTACCAGTGCCAGTGGCGGCAATAATGGAGGGCTCAGCCTGACGAAGAAGCCACTCGATAGTCTCGCCATCGGAACGATGACCGAGCTCGCGCGTCAACTGAAAGATTCGGGCGGCACAGAGGGCCGGCATACGGACACGCCGCCCTCTTCCGTTGACCTTGGTGTGACGGTCCCTCGAAGAAGAAGAGGATGATAACGAGGCGGTGGATTTGCGAGGAACGACGGATTGCTGGGTGACGTTGGTCGGAGACGCGTTACTACGGACGACTGAGTGAGAAGCAGCGGTGGGCTGAGAATGGTGATCGGAAGAAGAAGGGAATTTGTGTAGAGCGATCTCCGATCCCATAGTCGAAATACTGTGATTTAATTTCAGAAGAGAAAGAAATGAAAGGGGTTTTTTGTCTTTAGGGTTTTTTGTCTTTAGGGTTTTGATCGGAAGGAGGAGGAGGAGGAAGTCTTAGGGTTTCAGAATGAGAGCTTCGGAATGAGAAGAGGAAGGCACCGATGAGGAATAACTAATAAATAAAATAAAATAACTCACATCTGGGTCCACTTCCTGTTTGGTCCCACTCCACCTTTGGGCCCCACCCAACAAGTGGGCCCGATTCAATTCTTTCAAATTTATTGTCTCTCTTTTCAATTTTAAGGCTAAATTCACAATCCTCCCCTCCATCCTCTTTATTGGTCATTATTTATTTATTTATTTTCAAATTTCCTAATTTGTTTTCAATTTTTAATTCAACTTTATTGGTTCAAGTCTCCAGTATCTTTTCTCCAACACTAAAAGTGAAATGCTGTCTTTCTCGTGTCATGTTGATACGTTTTCTTTGAACGGGAAGGGACAGTGTTACTTATATTTTAACACAATCTTTAATAAATAAATACATATAGGAGTTGAAAAGGCTACACGGGCACGTGGTAGTTTTGGCCTTTTCAACTAAGTTTGGTGACCAATTGTGTGAATCAATCTGGGTAAAACAAACATGTCTCATGAGCTTTTAGCCCAGTTTATGTTTTCTATTGATGGATGAACAATCGAACATTGAGTGAATTTGATTAAAATGTACCCACGATCGTTTTGTTCTTAAGAAATTCATGTTTATTCGATAAATTCTTATATGAAGTGGGATGAGATTTAGTCTGGTATCGTTAGTATAAATCATTATTATATATTAAGAGTACTCTTTCAATGACTGATTGTAACTTATAATTTATATGTAAATTTCAAAAGTATATGGATGTTTATTGGGCACAGTTGAGCATTAAAATAATAATAATAATAAATCAGAGCCTTCCTAAAAAGAGGACAATAAATGGGCCTGGATTTGAAAGCTTCTGGGCTTTGGATTCTTGAGTTGAAAGGGCCTAATCTGCTATCATTGGGCCATGTCAACCCACTGACCCAACAACTCAAGAACCCACCAATAATTTCTTGGGATTAAAAATAAAAAAATAAAAAAATAAAAAGAATATATCTGAAACGACGATAGTATATAATTGAAACCCGATCCTTTTGAAAAAATCTAAACTCCCGATTTTTGAGGTGTGGATTGCTCTGCGAAACCACTGAAGAACCTCTCCTCCTCCTCCTCCTCCTTTATCCATAAACCTCCCCCATCCCATTTCTGACCAAATTTCTCAGAAGCATTCCCCAGAAAACAAGAACCCAGATGCTTTACAGAGACTAAACGGCGGTGAAATTCTCAGTGAACAGTCCTAAGAGACCTCCATGTGAGGAGACGCTCTCAGCCTTCGTCGTACTTCAAAAGGAACAGTGAATTTTTACGTATGGAGGCTGGACTCAACTTGCTCTCTTCGTCATCGCCCTTCATTTCGAGATGCCACCCGAGAAGCTTCCTTCCTCCTTCTTGTTCTTCTTCTTCTTCTTCCTCTTCCTCTTCCTCTTCTTCAGGTAGTATTTGCAGTTCGATATTGATATTTAGCTCATTTCTGTGCTCTGTATGGAATTTTTCTTTTACGTTGATACCTCAAATGTGAAACTCAGATAGTTCCATCTTAAACATTTCGAGTTGGGTTTGCCTTATTTGGATTTTATGTTTAGTTAGATTCTAAAAACAAAAATAAGCTTTTTAGTTTTTAGAACTTAGCTTGATGTTTAAGAACATTGGTAGAAAGTGAATAACAGAACAAAGCAACTCAGAGATGGAAGTGTTTATAAGCTTAATTTTCAAAAATCAAAAGCTATAAACAAAATGATTATCAAACGGGGCAGTTGTTTTTTTTTTTTTTTTTTAAATTAGTTTTCTCCACTTACATACATGTGTATCTAGAAATTCTACATTTACTTACGTACATGTTCGTTATGAAATCCTGCAGTGTCTATGTTTCATGAGCAAGCGACTCCTCGATGCTTTTCAACCTCATTTCTTTCACAAGAACAGCACCATGAGTGTAGGCCTCAATCACAAATACTTAAGGATGATAGAACATCTCAGGTTAGAATTCTCCTAACTTCTGCATTTAAATTGGATTATTGTATTGTATATAGAGCTAGATTAGCATTTCTTGGTTTCTTAATAATATGTGATTCTCTCTCTGTCCAGTGACTTCTGTTTATGAATGGCTGTATGCTTTTATAGGAAGTACACTCCTTTATCGTTCTAACTATGTTGTTCTGATCTGTCTGTTCAAGTGTGTAATGCCTCTTAGGGTATGTTTAGAATGACTTTCTAATTGGTTTAAAACGGAATTTTTAAGTACTTTAAAAGTCGTTCTCAATAAGCCTTTAATTTCACTGAGCATACTCTGGCTGACAGTACCTATGTTTGTGCTGATGTCTGTATACATGTTTTTCCAATTTCCCTTTGTACGCATGCTCTCTCTCTCTCTTTCAAACACACACAATTATTAAGTAATTATATGTGAGATCTCATATCGGTTGGAGAGGAGAACGAAACATTCTTTATAAGGGTGTAGAGAAACCTCTTTCTAGCAAACGCATTTTAAAAATCTTGAGAGGAAGCCCGAAAGGGAAAGCCCAAAGAGGACAATATCTACTATCGGTGGACTTGAACCGATGTGGGATCTCACATTTTATGTATCTGCGATTCACATCTGCATTTGGGAATTCCAATTAATGGTTCATTTGATGCCCATTGTGAAGATGACTCTAGATAGGAGGCTTATCGGGAGGAGTGTTTCAATTGATGAAGGGAACCAGATTGACCATGATCGTCTGGTCTGGGAGCTTAAGCATCAAGCGGTTGAGTGGCCTGGTTTAATATCATCGTAAGATGGACTAAACTTTCTTCTCTTGACCATCTTTTATCAATATAAAGATGGATAAGAAAGTATCCTTTCTTTCATATTGAGTAAATATATTTATTTTGCAGATGGCCATCCTTACAAATGGGGGAAAATAAGATCGCAGCGATCGAGAAACAATCCAATAACACTGGTAGGGAGATGCTTGTTAAAGATGAAGTAGAGAATGTCATTGCTCTTGCTAAGAAAGCTTTGTCAGTTTCAAAACAAGCAGCATCTTTAGTTGGCAAGTCTGAATTAGTTGGAACTAATCTGGACTGTTCTTCTCCTGAAGAGTAAGTTATATCTTTCTCATCTTATGTGCACAATTTATGATAGCCACATTTTTGTACTATAGTCTCATTTCAACTCTAATCTTGCTCATATTGTTACATATTCATTGATTAGTTCTCTAAGCAAGGAGGGGATAACTGTAAAGTCAACTAGACTGCAAGACAGACGATCTAAGAAGCGAAAGGTGCCAAAACATGTAACAATGATTCATGAGAATCATTCCAGGCGGAAAGATACACGGAGAAAAACAGGCGAAAACCTTGATCCTAATGATCCTCTACGACTGTTCTTGTGGGGCCCTGAAACAACGAAGCTTTTAACAGCTGAAGAAGAGGCCAAGTTGATAGTCCAAGTCCAGGTATGCTTGTGAACTGAAGGCTATTATTTCAGTTTTCAGTTTTCATACGTTTTCTATTCATTAGGACTTTTTTTACAGGATTTAATGATACTGGACAACGTGAAAGTTAGACTTCAATCTCAGTTTGGCCGTGAACCAACTTTGGTTGAATGGGCTGAAGCCCTAGGGCTTACTTGTCAACGCTTACAGTCACAGCTTCACTCCTTTCGGGTCAGTCGTGAAAAGCTGATTAATGCAAATTTGCGAATGGTTGTTCACATTGCTAAACGATATCAGGGTCGTGGTCTCAGCCTTCACGACTTATTGCAGGTTATGCTCTAATTATGAGGCATGCATCTATGGTGCTATGCCCTTACTCTCTTCCATTCCAGTCAGTAGATGAGTCAATTGTCAAAGTTAGGCCACTGGGCAAACGATACTGAGCAAAGTGCTAGACATGTATTTCTCAAACCTTATGCTTCAGGCACTATGCTTACGTTCGACGTTTTTTTTCCTTGTTGGTTTTAAAAATCTCTCCTCGTCTCGTCTATCCATCCATCTGTCTGCCTATCTATCTTATTTATAGGCCATGGCATAATTGTTTGTATTTGGTGAACAGATTTTAAGTTATATACTCAAATTATATCTTGAAGGGAAAAAATAAGATCTGAAAATTTAGACAATGAATATGGCACATGATCTAAATTCTAATTTTGAATCTCTGTGTGAAGGCTCATTCATGTGGGTTGTCACCCAAACTTGAGCATCATGCCCTGATTCATCCTTATCTTGCTATACATTACACTCATGCTATTCTTCCTTATCTTGCTTGTAAACTTGAGCATTATCTGAAGTCCTGCTCGGCACAGGAATTATACGAACCTTTAATATTGAGTTATTCGAGTTAAGCGACTGCATTTGTGTTTTCTATTCAAAATAGTATCCTCTATCAAATATGTTGAGATACGTGCATAGGCTAATGATATTTCCTGGTTCATTTTTTATATTGTCTTAGGTAGGAAGCTTGGGACTTATGAAGAGCGTAGAAAAATTCAAACAACAAGCTGGTTGCCGCTTTGCCACTTATGCCTATTGGTGGATTAGGCAATCAATTAGGAAGGCAATATTCGAACACTCCAGAACTATTCGTTTGCCGGTAATCACAATTCTTTAGTCTTTAGGTCCATTCTTGAAGAATTAAAAAAAATTTCACTGTTTATTAACTCTCCGTTTCTTTTTATTATTATGTTTTGTACAAGTATAACAAAGATTGCATTCACACAGGAAAATGTATATGGCCTCCTCGGGAAGGTAACAGAGGCAAAGAATTATTTTGTTCGAGCAGGTAATTATAAACCATCTAAAGAAGAGTTAGCTGCCCATGTTGGAATTACAGTTGAGAAATTGGATAAGTTACAGTTTATGTCGAGAATCCCACAGTCATTGCAGCAAACTGTATGGGCTGACCAAGATACAACTTTTCAGGTATCTTTCACTTTTTCTCTCGAGTTTTAACCCAATAGAATAGAACAAAAAATTAAACAAGAACAGGTTATGACTCTAAACATACTGCTTCCGGAATGTAAGATTTTAGATTTTTACCTTCCAAAAAGCTTGCAAGTCTGGTACTACTTTATTGTAAATGTGGCTCAGAGTAACGGAACCGTGCAGCTTTGCTAAATGCTGGGTTACCGATGAAATTCGCTTTATAACGGTATTATCATTCGACAGGGAAACCGTTTTCAATGTAAAGAGACTAATGATGTCAGGAATAGAGATGAATGAGAGATGTGTATCCATTATTGAAAATCCATCTTGCTAAGTTCCATCATATGTCTGTTGTCCAAGCTTTGGTATTAGTTAGTTTGCCACTGGTTAGTGATTATAAGTTGCTTTGCATGTATCATTTGAAGATACATTACAGAACTGGTTGCCAACGCAGAAAATGCGTGGATATATTTGATTTTATCGGGCTCGTTAGATACATAGAGTCGATCCGTTTAGGCAGATGATATATTCATTCTTAACATCATGCTGACAGTTCTCTACCATAATCTGAGAATGCATTCTGAATTATATTACAGGAAATAACTGCAGACTCTGAAGTTGATACCCCGGATATCAGTGTGGAGAGGGAGCTTATGCGAAGGCACATACGGAATCTCCTTAACGTTCTCAATTCGAAAGAGAGACAGATAATCAGATTACGATTTGGTATCGAAGATGGTAAAGAGAAGACACTGTTGGAAATTGGCAACATGTTTGGTTTGTCCAAGGAGAGGGTGCGACAGCTTGAAAGCCGAGCGTTATACAAGCTAAAACGATGCTGCAACAGCCAAGGGCTTGGCGCATACACCAATTTACTGATATGAGATCAGATGGCCAATGCATTTTGTTGTATATGCATCAGCTTGGTCTGAACATTTCATCTTCCGCATCAGAAGCTGTAGTTTTGGGAAGTTGGAAGGTCTCCATCAAGAATTCTGCGTGATACAAACAATACTTTTTGTAAGTCAAGCAGCTATGTATTGTATGTATATGAAGGTCATTTGTTATCCTTTTTAGGTGCAGTACAACCTGGTACTGCTCTTCAAGATGTCGAGCAATTGATACTGATGATATGTGCTGACATCTTAAACTCTATCTTTTAATTCATTCCAGAGATGATATTCAACGAAAATGAAGGAACAGTACTTTTTTCTCGCACCGTCCCGTACCGATCGCAAAATCATCACACTTGAGCTTTCTCAGATTTAGAGTCATTCCATAGAATGCTTAGAGAAACAGTACTACAGTAGATAGTTAATGACAATGGAGCATCAAAAAAGAAGAGGGAAAAAAAGAAAACACAAATTATGGAAGGGGAAATCTTGTTCCTCCCCCTCCTTTTTGTTTGACCCATGAATGAACTCAAGCTTGGATTCCTCTTGATCCGGCTCACTGTCATAATGTGTGAGATCCCACATCGGTTGAAGGGAAGAACGAAACATTTTTTATAAGCGTGTGGAAACTTCTGTTACAAATGGTGTTAGGATCAAACATTGGGCGGTGTGCCAGTGTGGACGACCCCAAGGGGGTGGATTGTGAGATCCCACATTGGTTGGAGATGAGAACAAAACATTCTTAGAGTGGAAACCTTTCTCTAGTATAGACGCATTTTAAAACCGTGAGGCTAACGACGATACGTAACGAACCAAATCGAACAATATCTGCTAGCGGTAGACATAGACTGTTACTATTAAGAGAGAGCTTCTCGGGATGATTCCTAATACAATCTTCCACAGGAAAACTAAGTTGGGAGGGAGAAATGATTGTATGGATTGTGAAAGATGGAGACCCATCATTCAAAGGGGCTTTCCTAAGACCAAAAAGACCAACTCATGCTGGCTTAGCACATGGCTGGCCCCATTTTTGAAGCATCTCCAACTTTCCTGCTTGCCTATATATACATATACTACGCTTCTTCTTCTCCTTCCCCTACTTTATGCCATTTTCTTGATCATTATTATAGCACTTGGAAGTCTTCAATTTTTAAGTTTTACTAACTGGGTCCCTTCTTCTTCACCTTTTAGTGGTAATGGTTCATTTTAAGGTACATGAATATGAAATTCTCTATAATTTTTCATATCAAAATAGAAAAGATTCTATTAGTTTATTGGTTCCTTTTTCTCTCTCTTCAACAACATATAGATATTAGGTCCTAAGGAGGCCTTTGTCACTAGTAATCCACACACAAAAAGGAAACACAACATTTTAGAATACCTTTTGTTCTTAATGTTTTACCATTGGAAATGAGGTGAAAATAAATTTTTAAACAATGGTGGGTTCCATTTGTGAATCAGGCACACAAAATCCTTCTGTTTTTTGTTTCTTCTTCTTCTGTTTCTGTGTGTAGAACAAATCTGGGTTAGCCCATAACTGGGAAGAGGCAGAGATATAAAGAACAAAGAGTACATAAACAGAGGAGGAGAAAGAGGCGCTAAGAATGGAAGGAGTGAAGGAAAAGAGTGGGAATTCGAGCAGTTTGAGACGAATTGGGGAATACCCATGTGATCCTTGTTCATCTTTTGGCCAAAAGTGCAGCAATTTGGTGAAGAAACAACGCACTAAATTCTACATCCTCCGCCGCTGTGTGGCTTTGCTTCTCTGCTCGCATGAGCGTGGCGACCCTTGATATCACACACACAAGCCTCCGCCACCGCCACTGCCACCGCCTCTGCTTTTGTTGCGCCAACGCCGGTGTGCTTCTTTTCTTTGAACTTCATTTTGTTTATAGGAGATCTTAATAACATCTCTCTGTTCATGACTCTTTCTTGAGTTCGAATTGAAGCCATTTTTGTTGTTCTAACCGAGTTATAGAGAGATTTCATGATTAGAACGATGCATTTAGGTGAGAAATTCAAACTTTTGATCGCTTAATTGAGAGCATATGTCTAAACGAATTGAGTTTGGCTCGTATTAACACCAAATTTTACAAACAATATACTTCTATTTTTTTTTTGGTTAAGAAAGCAAGGTACAATTTTAATATAGATATAGCTTACTATGTTAATAAATTTTAAATGGGCTAATTAAAGAGATAAGGTCAGATCAAGTTCAAATATCGATCCTGTCAAATTTAAGATATAATTTATCATATGGAGTATGATATATCGAAATTGTTTAATTAACTCTTTAAAACTTACTTGAGATATAATGTTCTAAAAATGAATAATCTATATTTTTTTTTTTAAGAATACAACGTTCTACAAAGATTACATGTTTTTTTAATAAACCCATAAATCAAATTCATTAAATTCAACAAAGTCGTAAGTATCCACATGATTTGTCAATTCAATCCTAAAGTGAACATGAGACAAGACACAAGCACCCAATGTTTGTATTATTATTTGTGCGTTTTCTTAATAATATAAAATTTGATCGTATCTTTTTATTTGTATATCGATGGTATAAATTTTAACGAAAAAGTAATCATTTTTAATATATATTTTTTTTTATAACAAATGATATATCACTGGACCTTGAACATTTAACGTAATAGAAATAAGTAAGTACCTACATTTTTTATTAAATTTTTGCAAGAAATTAAAATATTTCTTGAAAATCAAGATTTAGTCGTTGTTTCCAAGTGGAGCCAACATCAAACTGTGGGGAAGAACAAGACCAATGGATTACGCTATTTAGGGCCTAAAGATAAAAGCTAAGATCTCAACTAGATTCGTTTCCATCGGCTCTTTTGTTTTATAACATATGAGATATGGAATTGAATATGGAATGTGAAAGAAAGAAATAAGTATACATCAATTACTGCTAATGAGCTAGGCTAGAGAGAGAAAGAGGGAGAGAGAGAGAAAAGGGAGGCAAAGGAGTGGGTACGATCAGCTGCAGCTTCTTCTGATTTTCAGAGACCCCTCGTGCGGCCCTCCCTCTCCTCTTTTTTCTTTCCTGCTTTGCTTTTCAATCATTTCAAATTAGGGTTTCACTTCAAAATCCTACCTTTCCTGCTGGTTTCCATGGCTTCCGAGTTAGGGTTTTGTATTCCTACTCTTCTCATCCCCTTAAATTACAAATTTAATTCTTCCTTTTATAAACTTTATTAGAGAATAAATAATCAAAAAATAGTTATCTCAAATTAAAAATAACGTAGGTATATAATTGTATCCAATTTTTTATAAAACCAATAACAAATTTGTGTTGGTTCTGTTCAACTTAGTCAAAATTTATAAAGCTTGAATTCAATCTAAATAAGTATATAATCCAACTAGATTGGGTTAGGTTGATCAGTTTTTCAGATCATCTGATCTTTTGAACATTCCTACTCGAAAGGTTAACTACATATGGGTCTAATTAGCACTTAAACAAAATCAATAATCAATAATTTAATGTGTAATTTATTTGTATATATTAATATCTATTATTATTATGAATAGGATTGGATGTCCCAACAAAAAAAAACATAAAATTTACCAATTTTAAGGAACATGAATCTCAAAGTTTCTCTGTTCTGTTGACACACAAATTATTAAGTTGACTCGTTCCCTAACACACTAACAATTTCATATGAATCTCAAACATCCCACATTTAATCTTTAACTTTTCGATCTTGTTTTTCAATTATTTTCATCATGGTCCCTTGAGTTTTAGTCATTTTGAATCCTTTCCCTCCTTTTGTTTTCTTTTTTCTTTTTGGTCCCTACCCTTGTCACTCTCAATCTACTTTACTCCCCTCCACTTAGACATCGGAGAGACATGTCTTTGTCCTATCAATGTTCTTGTTTGTAATTCTTTCTTCAAGGATGTTTTTTTTTTCAATATTGTTCTCCACTCATATCTTGAAAATTATACTTGGTGAGATGGAGTAAAATTTGTGTGGTGCAATGGAGTATAATTTTGTGTGGTGAAGGCTCCCGTAATCCCATCTAATACGTGGCGGGTAGAGACATGATCCTATTTGATATGTAGTTGGTAGAAACATGAGAAAAAACTCTGCAAAAACCGTAATGCATCTTTTGATTCTACTCGACTTTCTCTTTGAGCTACAGCTCCAGCAAAACGGTCAACTAAGTGTGAACAATAAGAATGGACTAAAGCATCTCGGACTTTCTTAGAAAGAAAAGTTGCCACGGATAAGGCTTTAAAAGTCCTGCACTTAGTTAAGTAGTAGAGGCCAAACAGCAGTCCTATGGTGTTCTGAAGTTATCCATTTTTAAAGCAGTAACAGGAAATAACCAACTGATATGTCTACATTATAGGCAAGTATCACTACCCAAGGAGGCGCCCTGAAGCCATCTTTGGAACCGAACACCCCTCCAACTGAAGGCTCCTTCTTCCCCCACAGATCTTTCTATGAGAAACGGACACAAATTTGCAGTGTTAGAAGAACTGTTCTAAACATACATCACATATGGAAACCCCTAGTTGTAAAGATCATCATCATCAGCCCCGCCAGCTGATGTTGCAAATGGGTCGGCGGCTGCAGTTCCAGACGTGTTTTCTGAGAACCTGAATTCAGAACCAAACCCTCGCGACTGCTGCAGTGTTTGAGCAAATGCCTGGTATTTGCGAATATCGGCGTCGCTCACACTTCTACGAGCAAACTTCATCGACTCCTCGAAATGAGCAGCTTTAATCTCTGCCACCTCGTCCTCTACATCCTCTTCCATAGCCTCAGGATTATCTCTTCTCCGCCTCTCCCTCTCAATATCCTGCAATAAAGAAGATTTTGATCGTGAGCTTTCCTAATAATTACAGAACTGAAAATTTGTAACACTTCGATATCAAAGAAATCAGGATGATAGCATTTTTGAAGTGCAGGATTTTACTTTCTCAATATTCTCTCTGATAGCATATTTGCAAGCACGCTGACAGATTTCTGTAATATCAGCACCACTAAAGCCTTGCGTGTACTTAGCAAGGGCTCTAAGGTCTACATCTTTCGATATCGGCGACTTCCTCAAGCAAGCTTTGAAAATTTGGTGACGAGAATCTTCGTCAGGAAGAGGAATGTAAATCAATTGATCGAGACGTCCCGGACGAAGAAGTGCAGGATCTATAATATCTGGTCTGTTGGTCGCCCCAATTATGAAGACAGTTTTCTTTGCGGACATTCCGTCCATTTCCGTCAGAAGTTGGTTTAGAACTCGATCAGCAGCACCTCCAGCATCTCCCACGCTGCTGCCTCTCTGCAGATAATTTAGAACAAAAAC